TGGAGGAAACATAATTATAGCTAGGTTTCGAACGAATGAACAAGTTTTTGATGGAGGTGTCAAATGGAGAAAAATTAACACTGGCCAATTAAATTTTAGTTTTTAAAACACTCAGAGAAACTGTGGAAATTTCGAATTAAGCAAACACAAGCATTACCTCGAAATCAATATTAACCCTGCAAAAAACCAGCAGAATTGGATTTAGATGTGCTGCAACTCTGCAAGTTAACAGGGGCCAATTAACTGTGAGAACCCATTCGGATTTTTGCTTAAACTCAACAGCACTAATCGAAAATATAGCTCAGAAGCTCATTTTGTGTAAACTAGTCGTTTTGTTTCATTTGTTGACAGTTTTCTTGATCAGTTTTTTTCTAAAACTTAGGCAATTGTTTTCATGCAAAATAGTGAAATTGTTAGTTTTTTGGTTACCAGAAATTTTGGATTAATGGTGTTTGCCAAAAAACAACACTTTGTTGATGAGAATCTTACAAAAATAAAAACAGGGGTGTTTCGATCATTCGGATTTTTTGGCTCGTTTAAAATTGGCAGTTAATGAGAGCTCATAAAATTGAGTCATGTTGTCTTGTTTTAAGGTTTTTTCCAGTTCCTTTATTTCTGAGAAAAGCGTAATTTCTTCACGAAAACAAATCCCAAAAATTGAGGCATAAATAAGTATAACTACACTTGCAGTCTTAAAATGCACCCGCACTGAAGCTATTCAAAAAAGACTGAATTCCAGAGCACCAACTCATACAGCGCAACTTGCTCACCAATTAATCCCCCGGTACTAAACTGGGGCTCAAGTACTATTCTTTTGAGTATTTTATCCCTCAGGAACAACTCAAATAGCGAATACTCGGAATCTAACCTCGGGAATCTATACTCATTCCAATACCAACCTTATAGGTATCTAGGAGTTGTAGATCACTTGTTAGAGGTCAAAGTCATCTCGTCCAATCATAATATTTGGGAGACTTACTTTCCATGCCGCGTTCCAATTACTGCAATTTTCTTCTGAGACTACTTTTCTTTGCTCCAGTTGTGAAAAATAGCCTAATTATCAAAGCTCAGCTCAACCTAATATACTTCATGTGCTACATTTTGAACCATTTTCACGGTTGGGTAGGAAGCTTTTAGCTCTTGGAAAAACACCCTCTTAGAGCGGAAATAGACTATTTACGCAAAATTTGATTTCATCGCGGCAGTAGGCACTAGCTGCCTTTATTGAAAAAAAACCCATCATGAACAAAAACCCTTCGGCTACTTCTTCCGTTGTTAATAACTTTTAATGTACCCCCACAGGCACTTTTCATCAGTCATTCTTCCCATTAATTGATGACATTCAATCCTCAGTAATTAACTCTGAGAGATAGGTTTTCTGGTGTTAATATTTGGTTTTTCTATGTAATTTTGGGCCTAAACTCCAAAAAATCATTGAAAAATCACCTGGGGGCCCACAGGGGTCATTTTTCTTTTTTACTTCATAAACTATTCCGTTTCAAAGGCTCATTATCAATTTTCCCGGGAAAAAGCTATGAACGGAGGAAAAACTGGAGGGTTTTTTATTACGATTGATTTTTTTTCGGGAATTGTATCTAGTGTCTACTGCCGCGATGAAATCAAAAAATTTTTGCTCAAAATTTTGTGTAAATAGTCTACTTCCGCTCGAAGAGTGTTTGCTCTGATTCGTTCTAAATTGGGCAAACACGAGTGTTGTTTTTGCGCAATGAAAACTTACACATCAGGCTCATATCAAATATAATGACGAAAAAACAGTGTTTTTACGCTCCAATCTCGCATAAATGTTGAAAAAAATAAAGAACTCGATTTTTCAGTATTCCTTGACTAAAAACAAACATTCTGAAGCTCACAAGAATGCTCACATTCTTAAGCCCCCAAAATTTCAAGCATACAAATTAAAAATTGAAGACGTTTTAACAAAATTCAATCACTCATTTCAAAATGTACAAGATTTGAAGCTCGTACGTATACTTATTTTAAGTGATAGAATGGGTTTATAAATTAAGCTTTGTATATTTATTGGTTGTCAGATTTTTTGATCATTCATTAAAAAGCCAGACAAACTCACGCAAAATCACCTTAGAAACTAAAAATTGAACAAACATTTGAGTCCTAATTATGATTCAAATTAATAGCTCCCAAATATTTTCCAGAAAAACAAATGGCAGACTTTGAAGATTTTTTTTTGCTTTTAAGTTTTTGAAAAAAAAACGGCTAACAATTAGTTTTCAGAAAGAAAATGAAATTAAATTAGAATGTGGAGCTACAGAGGAGAATGACTGAAGAAGAATGTACTCTGATAAAATAAGAAATCTAGAGATACTTGACACAAATTTATCAATTAACACCGTGCAACTGATTGAGAAGTCAAATTGAGCAACTTGGGTAAAAAAGAAAAAACTAAGCCAGAAACAAAATTGGGGCTCATTCAGCTCCTTTTGCTGAAAACTGGACTTATTCAGTTCCTTCTGCTGAAAATTGGGCTAATTGAGCCCCTTTTAAAAAAATTTGGATCAATCAACCTCATGCTCAACAAATTGGTGACAAGAAATTACATTTTTAAATAATTTCTTGCCCGACAGGGTTGTTCAATAATCGAAAACATGAAAACAAACTTTGAAACACGATCCGTGCTGAAAAGCTCAACCGCGATAGTTCAAAGTAAAGTCATTATAAGGAGGCCAAACTACGCCTTTTGTGAATTGTAAGCCGCTTCCACAAGAGGCCAAAATCAAATTTGTCGCGGAATCCGCAACACTGCTATTATTCTTTGATCTTTTTTACTGTTTGAGTTCCACGGACAAAAAGCTAAAACAATATATTGCTCAAAGTTGCCCCAAAAACAGGCACCTTTGCGGAATCCGCAACAAATTTTGTGGAATCCGTAACAATTTTTGCGGGATCCGGAACAGGTTGTGGAATCCATGAACAAATAATAATAGTTTTTTGGCTGTCGTGGAATCCGCAACTGTAAGCGGAATCCGCAAATTAAAAGCAGAATCTGCAACCTCTAAGCGGATTTTGCAAACTTTAAGCGGAATCCCCAAATGGTAAGCGGAATCCGCAAACTGTATGCTGAATCCGCATAAAATTGCGGAATCTGGAAAAACCACCTATTTTCTCTCGTTGCGTAAGCCGCAACAAAACTAATGTACCGACAAAGCTTACGTTACTAGTATTTGTTCGCGGATTCCACAGAAATTTCGTTAGTGGAATCCTTTTGCATTTTGAAACTTGCTTACAGATTTGTGTGTGGGATCCAAGAACATACAAACACACTATCTATTGCGCAATTTTGCCTCGTAATTCATTTGAAACATTTCTGGGTAATCATTATCCTTGTTTTGTGTTCACTCCTCGTGTAGAACCCAGTTCGAAATTGGTCCCCTTTTTGGTCTCTTTTTATCCATTAAAGCTGATTGAGCCCAATTTGGACCCAATTATTTGCAAGATCCAATTTTTTCAGCCTCTGATTTAGCAAGTTGGACCCAAAGTTTATCAATATGAGGCTGAATGATCCAAATTTTCAAAAAGGGGCTGAATGAGCCCAATTTTGCTT